GGTAAAACTTGAAAGTGCATTTTTGAGACAAAGGACTTATGCATAAGGGGAAGAGTTGACGTAGAGGGTATACTGGGATCTGAGGAAGTATTGAGATCACAAAGAAGTCCTCCCCTTAATGTTGGCTTTTTTTTACACGTTTGATCCAGCCATAAACTCAGGAAGGAGAACCACAGCCTGGAAATTCCAGAGCTGTTGAATAGGCTTTACCCCTGAACATTACCCTTGACTCACAGGAGGCATGAATGACTTAGGGTGAGTAAAGTGTCTTATGTGCTGGTAGTGCTGAGACAAAGTGGGAGAGATCCTTTTAGGTCAAATTTCCAAAGAGGTTCAAAAAGCTCCCAAGATTCTACCTGAATGATTATTTAAGAGATAAAACTGTTCTTACAGTGTTTTAATTAAATGTGGGCCTTCATTAGACTCAATGTATTTATTCAATATATTTGTAATCAAGTTTAAGAAATAGCATGCATGTTTGAAACAAGATAAGTCAGTTGCAGGTTTAGATATAATATAAATATTTTATCAACTAGCTCAAGAACCAGAATGTCTTGCTGAAGAAAAAGCAGCTGTTTTGGAACAAACACAAGATTTGGCTTCAGAAAATTACAAGACATTTATTCAGACAGCTGAATGTTCCCATCAAATATTCCGAGATGCAAGTTTAATTCTGTTACTATTCTTTCTATATTTTGTAATTCATATTGAATTGTATTTTTAATCTCTAATTTCCGAGAGGAGTTTCAAAGGATTTTTTATTAATTAAATGTGAAGTTTTGGAAATAATGAATGGAATCCAATAGTTTTATTTTTAAAAGAAACTGTTTTTGATATAATTTTTTTGAGTCATGTAAATTGTTTTCATTCAGGTTTTTTTTTATTTTCAATTAAATATATAGTTATATAATGCCAATGAACAAAATTTAAATGGATGTCATTTGCCTTTCTCATATAATACAATGTCACTTGTTCATCCCCCACTGGGTCAGCGTTAAGTTTAAGAACTTACACTGCTCAAATCTGGGGATTGATTTCTCGTGTTTTACAGAGTAAAGTTAACGTATATTGTGGCTTTTCACTAAAACAAACCAACAAACACGTCTTAGAGGTAAATCTGTAAGAACTAGGTTCAACTAGTAAAGCTCAAATGAACTGGATAATATTATCTAAGTTTTTAGGAAACATGGTTCAGTCTGTTTTAGCTCTCTTAACTCTAATAATTAACATTGTCTGTTCAAAGTAATTGATGCTCATTTCACCATTTTTCATCAGAAATTAACTACATATATCATCTATTCAGGAAAAGTGATTAATCATATTTTTTTCCAGTTCAATATAGTAGAGGAGAAACTAGTTTTGTTACTGGATAAGCTACCTAATTTTGCAGCAAAATGTCAGTTCTTCAAGGAAGAATCTGAACAGATCAACTTAAGGTGAGAAAATCTTAATTTTACATAGATACAAAACAATTTTATTATAGCAGCCTTTTTTTATATGCATATTTACTTTATTTTTCTTATAATTTTACAATTAGAGTCGAAACTATGCAGTCATCACAGAAGAGATGATAAAATGTACTAACTTTTATATGAATTTAATTCTAATTGCCATGAACTTGGTTAAAAGGGGCTTTAGTTTAGCCTCATATTAGCTCTGAGTGAAAGTTGAAATCCTGTATAGAATTAGTACACTTTTAAAGATAATTAATTTATATAATTTAAACTGTGAAAACAACAAAAAACATATATTAAAGGTATCCAGGTGGTCATTAACTTGGAAATTCCAAGGAATTTGAAAAAAGGTATTAAAAAAATCATAGCAAATTTTGTCTATAATATCCTGACTATGTTTTAAAAAAAGGGTTAGATTCATGTAAAATAGAGAATCAGGACATCTTATGTAAACCACAAGGTATGTTTACCAGAAAACTATTAAAACTTTTACATAAAGAAAGTGACCAATAGTTGTAGAAATTAATTTTGAAATAACTATTTTTAATACCTTTGACAAAAACGTTTAAGATTTTAATGATTCAAGGTTATCTAGCGGCCTACAAAGTCCTTTTTGTACGTATTTGGGAAGACCTCCAGAAAGTCTGAAAAAGCTAAAGGTTCTTGAAAAATTCCTTACATTTTGTAATATCCAAAAATGTAATAAATTCTATTCTTTTGAATTGTAGATAACTTGTGAAAAAAAATCAGATAACATTTTAAGATACAAAGAAATAAATTATTTAAGCAGAGAAGAAAAGAAAGCAAATGTGTACAATTTCAAAGCAAAAGAACATCAAAAGGAATTTGAAAAATTTAGTTTGGAAAATAAAGAATTGAGATGCTGCTTAAATTATCAAAATGAAGACAGTACTTTATTCATTTACTGATGAGTAATGCAATAGATAGGCATAGCAAAAGTGCACACTTTCACAGCAAAGGAACATCAAAAGTAAATGAAAAAAATCTAGTTTGTGAAACATAGGATATAGAAACGCTTCTTAAAGCATGAAAAGAAAAAGTAACTAGTTAGAACAGTGTTTTTAAATTGAATAGACTTACTCTGAAGTACTAAAAGCCTTTCCTTATTGGACTTGTTCTCACTCTGTCAACAGTCATATGACTTTAAGTTCTGAATGTCATTGAGAAAATTGCAGAACATGTGTCAAGTAACCCAGAGTTCTTCACTAATACCACCTTCCACATAGTTCTTTGTAAATGTGTCTGAAGAATGTCTCATGATAACATCAAAGCTAGATATACAATTACTAAATCCTGATCTTGGATATTCCTCAGAATTAGTTTACTATCTGCATTATCTGTTAACATTCATAGAATCTGTTCTCAAGTGATGTAAAAAATGCAATTAACTTGTACTCTAATAATTTTGATGAGTAATTTGTGAATAAAAAAAATCTTCTGTGTTTACATAAATAGCATTCAAGTTAGAGCCATGCTTGGAAAATTGTAAATCAATTTATGTGTTGCATAAAAAAAATTTTAATACCTACAATATGTCTTTGTTACTTTCAAAATATGTTGAAATAAATAAATAATTCGCTATATATAGGGCATGTAATTTTATTAACTTTACTCGTAGCAAATTTCCTTGAAACAGTTATTTGTAAATACAAAGGATTTTGTAGTGAGTATAAAAGTTTGATATTATTAAGATGAATTTCCAGTATAGATATATTTTTGTCCAATTTTTCATAATTGATATTTCTCTGGTTATATTTTTAGAAGGCACCAAGCATCACAAACTTTGTCTAAGTACACCCAACTACTTGATATCCTGGAAATTCCTCAGGTTATGGACACTTGTGTTAGAAACGATTATTGTGAAGATGCTCTTGAGCTAGCTGCTTACGTACGAAGACTGGAGAAGAAATATTCATCAATTCCTCTGGTTGCTGTTAGTACTATATATACATTATTTGGAACAACAAGTATCCAGATATAAATTTAAAGAATATTTCAAGTGATCTCCTGTAAATGGCTATATTTGCACACTTATAAAACCATAAAATAATCTCAATTGCAACGCATAGAAAAAAAGATGAATAAGTTTATGAAATACCTGTTTGAAATGTAAAGAATGTCCATCACTTTCCTCATCCTTATTATTTTTAATGGAATTATATGAACATTGTACTAAAATCAATTGTGACCAAGAAAACATGGCCAAAACACAGTGATTGCTATCTTACATTTGTTGTTTTTGTAAATATGAAAATCAGTTTTGTAGGCTAATTTGTAGCTTTGGTGCTACACTTTACTTTGTTGATTAGCTTGTGTTGTTGATTTGAAGCATTTTTTTTTTTAAATCTAATCCACAAAAGAAAAAGACATATGATAGGGATGAATACATTTGTAGCTTGATGATAAGTGTCGTAATGTGTCTTGAACATCAGAACTGTAGGCTAAGCCTTTTTTCTGAGCTTATGATTGCCAAAAACACTAAAACGATTTAGAGTACAAGATAAGCAAAAAGTATTGAAGTGCAAAAATGCTGAACACTTGCTATCACACACACATCTAAAACTCTACTAAAGTTTTGTGCAAATTGTTTTGGTGATAGCACATGGTATGATGTGGGACTGAGACTGACATCCTGTGTGTATTAAAGTGAAATTTTTTAATGTGTTTGTAAGCAACTTGTGGTATGTTCTGTGGAATTCAGGGCATGGTCTAGTGTACCAGATCTCGAATCTGAGGGTCCATGGTTTGCATCCCATACTGCACACTTTGAGGCCATAGATTATTATAAGAGTGATGGTCAAATTCTATTATTTTAAGTACAGTAATACTTAATAGTAGGGATCAACAAGGATTCCAAATAATTCGATTGCCAAAAAAAACGACCATTCAGAGTATTGGTAATAATATATTATTTGCATATATACTAATAATGTGCTAAAAAGCTCACTACCATTGGCGGTATAACAATTTAAAAATTTCTAAAAGGGCAACTTTTTTGTTTATTGTCTACCTACCTGATCACATCAGTGGGGCTAGTGCCTAGACAGCTCAGACTATTGCTACAATATTTCTCCAACTTACTTGACTGGTCTATGGGTATCCACTTTTGATATTCCAATAAAAATCCATACATATATGTATATACTTACGCACATGCACAGGTATAATATAAATGGTAAACATATCATGCACATACTTAAATATCTTTTCAACCCAGTTCAACTGAACAGATGGCACTACATATAGATGGATAAACATGCAACAGTTTCTGAAGGTAAAGTATTTGCTTTAGATGGGTATAACATAAACAGTAAACAAACAAGAGTATTCAAAAATTATTAATTTTAAAATGAAGTAGTGATCCTGCTTTGAAAAGTAATGAAACAAGAATTAAAACCACAATCACAAATTTATCAAATTTAATTCCTACTTTGACACCTTTATACACATATCTGTAGGCCAAAGTAAGGATTAAATTTTGTACATTTGTGATTGTGGTTTTAATTGTAAAAGTTATAGCTATCAGGGATATGGATATACTGAAAATTTATAGATTTTATGTCCATAAAATGGACATATAAGAACTGAACAAATAAGTAGGGAAAAAAATTAGATTTTAATGGAAAGTAGGGATCGTTGGTTATTCTTATAAAAAGTATCCAAAACAAAGTAAATGGTGCAATACAAAGTACACTAGTGATACTAGTTGGATAAATTGTAAAACTATTTTCAATCCCTACTTTGGTTGGATTATGATCTGGATAGCTAAATTTGCCAACTGAAGTAAGGATTGAAAATCATTTTAAAATCTATCCAACTAGTATAACTTTAATTTTTTTTCCTATTTATTTGATTAGAGTAACTCATTAATTGACAATGAGTGCTTTAGACCATCTGCCTTCCCTGTAGTCTCTCAAAATTTTGTATGGTAGGTGTAGATAACCCTTATGAATTTCTCTGTAAACATTTAAAACAAACAAGCTGTAATTCAAATTCGATGACGAGGAACCCAATTTGAGACTAATAATGGCTGGAGACGGCTTGAATGGGTAATGAAGAAAAAACTTTAATATAAGTTCAACATAACAGCAAATGTACAACGTATAATGTACCTGATGATGACAAAACCTTGTCGAAACGTTGTACATTTGCTGTTATGTTGAACTTATATTAAAGTTT